GCCTCCATGGAAGCAATGGAGAAGAGAATGACAGAGGCAATACAAGCCATGGGGGAGCAGATAGAAAAAACATTGGGGGACCAACTGGAGAAGCAAACTCAGATTCATCTGAAACATCTAGAAGAAGTCCAAGAGAAGAACATAACAGCATTGAAGGAATTGGTTACTACAGAAATAACTTCAATCAAGCAAGAAATGGAAGGAGTTAAGAAGGATGTTCAAGCAAATGCAACCAAGACTACAGAGACAGAGGAGAAGATACAAAAAATAGAAGAGAAACAAGATTCTTTGACTCAACAAATTACAAGATCAGAGACAATGATGGAGTTCAGAAGGATGCAGACTCATCTGAGATTCAGAGGCATTAAGGAAACAGAGAATGAGAACTTAAAAGAAAAAATGATGGAAGTGATAACGGCTTTTCTGGGCGAGGAGGAAGGGTCAATGGACTCAGACTTTGATTTGATTTATAGAGTGAACTCCAGAATTGCAGAAAAGAAGAATTTACCAAGGGATGTAATTGTACAATTTGTAACAAGATCAATAACAGAGGAGATATTCAAGAAGCAATTCAACGTCCCTTTTGTAATAGAGGGAAACAAAATTATGGTGATGAGAGAACTCCCAAGAACAATACTGCAAGACAGGAAAAGGTATAAATCCTTGGCGGACAAACTCAGAGCTTTGAGCATCAGATATAGATGGGAGATTCCACAAGGTTTATCCTTTACGTATCAAGGTGGGAGGATTCAGATCAGATCGATGATGGACTTTTATAAATTTAAGGCGGACAATGCGGACGTCTTTGGAGAACTTTAAAATAAAACGCATAATGGAGTACAAATTGTTGTCATGGAATGTTAATGGATTAAATTCACCAAACAAGAGGAAAAGAATCAATCATTGGATACAGAAACAGAAATGCAACGTGATATGCTTGCAAGAAACACATATTAGAAAACAGGATATAAAATATTTAAAGAATGCTTTATTTGGAATTGAATTTTGTTCTGCGGCCTCAAACAAGAAAAAAGGAGTTGTGACATATGTGAAGAAGGAGTTACAACCTACAGAAATTTTTAAGGACATAGATGGCAGATACGTGGGTGTGGAATTAATGATTCAGCAGAAAAAAACATTGTTGATCAACGTGTACGCACCCAATGGAGCAAAGGAAAAATTTTTTAAGGATATAACTGACCAATTACAACAATTGACTTATGAGCAAGTTATTATGGCCGGAGACTTTAATGGGACAATAGATCGTCTAGACAGAAAACCACAAAAGGACAACGAATTCAGCGGAAAATTGCCAAAGAATTTTTTTGAATTAGTTAAGCAAGAAAAATTAGAAGATGTTTGGAGGAAATGGAACCCGATGCAGAAAGACTTTACTTTTTATTCCAATAGACATTGCTCTTTTTCCAGAATTGATATGATTTGGATGTCTGAAGAATTATCAATGAAAACACATAAGACTGAAATTTTGCCAAGATGTAATTCAGATCACAATCCGGTGGTATGGAGTTCCACAGAAAGGAAAAAACCCTTTCTGTGGAGGATTAATGAAGACTTGTTGGATAAGAAAACGGTAATTGAGATGTTAAAGGAAGAAACGAAACAATTCTTTCAACAAAATTTAAATAAAGAAACACCGATACAGATTGTATGGGATGCTTATAAAGCGGTGATGAGAGGAATTCTCATCTCGCAAAACGTGAAGCAAAAAAAGGAAAAACTTCAAAAACAAACAGAAGTGTTAGAAAAAATTGCTCAGAAAGAAAAGGAATTAAAAAAGAAGCCTGGAAAAAAGCAAATTATTAAAGAATTAAAGTTGCTGAAGGAACAACTGAATGAGACTTGGAATCAGGAAATGTATTGGAATTTAAAGAAGTTACAACAGAAATCTTTTGAAGGGGCGAACAAACCGGGAAAATACTTAGCTTGGCAACTTAAGGCTAGAAGAGAGAGAAGAATGATAACCAAAATAATAGAAGATGGAAAAGAGTTCGTTGATCCTAATGGAATAAAGAGATGTTTCTTCAAGTATTATGCTAAACTATTCCAAACAACTAGAGTTGATCTTGAGAAGATTAAAACATATTTAAAGGAGATTCCACTACCAAAAATAAGTAAGGAATACAAAGATTTATTAAATGGTCCAATTCAAAAAGAAGAAGTGATGAAGGCAATAGAAGAGACAAAGTTGGGGAAGGCGCCTGGGCCGGACGGATTTACAGCGAAATTCTACAAAAAGATGAAAGAAGAAATTTCCCCGGTCCTGGAAGCTTTAACCAACGAAATAAGAGAAAACAAAAAGGTGCCGGACTCATGGAAAGAAGCAATTATTTCTTTGATTCCAAAGGAAGGACAAGATTCAACAAATGTAAAGAACTACAGGCCAATATCTCTTTTGAACAACGATTATAAAATCTTTGCAAAAATTATTGCAGAAAGGGTGAAAAACTATTTACAAACGGTAATTTCTGAAGATCAAGCGGGCTTTTTACCCAAAAGGCAGATTAGAGACAATGTAAGAATAGTAATGGACGCAATTGAATATTATGAAAAGCACCCAGAAAAAGAAGTAGCTTTTCTGTTTGTTGATGCAGAAAAAGCTTTTGACAATCTTAATTGGAATTTTATGCACCAGATGATGGAAAAGATTGAAGCGGGACAACATTTTAGAAATTGTATTGAAGCTATCTATTCTGAACAAAGAGCTAAAATAAATGTGAATAAAGAACTGACAGATAACTTCAAAGTACAGAAAGGAACAAGGCAAGGTTGTCCGTTATCACCGTTATTATTTATCTGGGTATTGGAAATACTTTTACAAAAAATACAGTACGATCAAGAAATAAAGGGCTTGACACATAAAGGACACCAATACAAATATCGAGCATTTGCAGACGATGTAATGTTTATGGTGGAAAACCCAACAGAAAAATTGACATTGCTTTTTCAAAAAATAAAGGAGTTTGGAGAATTGGCCGGCTTTTACGTAAATAAGAATAAAACAAAACTTATATGTAAAAACATGATCAAACAAAAACAAGTGGAACTACAAGAACTGGTACAATGTGAAGTAGTTAAAAAAACAAAATACCTTGGAATTGAATTAACGGCAAAAAATATAGACCTATATAAGAATAATTATGAGAAATTATGGACTAAGCTGACTCAAGATTTTAAGAAATGGGATAAAATGAACTTATCACTGATGGGAAGAATATCAGTTATAAAAATGAATGTCCTACCACGTTTGATGTTCCTGTTCCAAACAATACCAATTCTGCATAAAACGGATTTGTTGGCCAAGTGGCAACAAGAGTTGTCAAAATTTGTTTGGGCAGGCAAGAAACCAAGGATCAAAATGAAAATACTTTGTGATGCCAAAGAAAGAGGAGGTCTACAAATGCCAAATCTTAGACTATATTATGAAGCGGTTTGTCTAACATGGATGGATCAATGGGTGAAGCTTGAAAATGACAGATTGTTGGGGTTGGAAGGGCATGATTGTAGATTTGGCTGGCATGCATATTTATGGTATGACAAGATAAAAATGGACAGTTTTTTTAAACTTCACTTGGTGAGAAAAGCTTTGTATATGGTATGGACAAGATATAAGAAGTACCAGAGTGACTTAAGACCATTGTGGATTGTACCAGTAGAAGTGTTGATATCTTACTCAAGACAGCGAGGTAGAGACTGGTTGCCATATAGAGATTTAATTAAAAAAGAGGGAACAGAGTGGGTAATGAAAAAGCAGAATGAAATTGAATATGAATATGAGTGGTTGAAATATATGCAGATTTATGATCTTTTTAGATCTGACAAAAAAAACTATGGTTTTAGAGAGGAAAAAAATGAAATTGAAAAGGTTTGGGAGAGTGGAGGAGGAAAAAATATTTCTAAAATGTATAAGGTGTTGTTAAAATGGTATACTGAAGATGAAACTGTTAAAGAACAAATGTTAAAATGGGCTATTAATATGAATAAGGAAGTGGCTATGGAAACCTGGGAATATTTGTGGAAAAATTCTATTAAGATCTCGACATGTACTAATGTTAAAGAAAATTGTTATAAGATGATGTATAGGTGGTACATGACACCTAAGAAGATTGCAAATATGAATCAAAATATGTCAAACAAATGCTGGAAATGTAAGAGGCATGAGGGCTCATTTTATCATATGTGGTGGACTTGTGAGAAAGCTGTAGACTTTTGGACAAAAGTCCACAATGAAATGCAAAAAAAATTGAAATGTTCTTTTAAAAAAGCACCGGAAATTCTGCTTTTGGGACTTAAAATGGAAGAAGTCAATACGACTAAAAAGACTTTACTCTGGTACCTGATAGTGACAGCGAGAATGATTTATGCTCAGTTTTGGAAGACAGAAAAGGTACCAGAGGTTGAAGAATGGATACAAAAAGTTCTGTTCATGGCACAAATGGATAAGATTACAAAAAAACTGAATAACAAAGAAGACGATGAGTTTTTTGGAGAATGGAATGACTTTAAAATTTATCTGGAAAAGAACTGGGATGTGAAACAAAACTTAATATGTTTAGATCAATATTAAGTCAAATGATGTTATCTTTAGATTGTAATGATGAGAAACTGATATTGTTGATGATATGAAGTAATTTGGAGCAGGGGTGGAAGCATTGTGGGAAGCCATTGGAGGGAGGGGAGGAACTGGGAATGGGGTAGACAATTGATAGAATGAAAAGTTTTATATGTTGTATTCCTGAGAAAAATAAAAAAAAAATTTGTTTACCAAAAATCCTACTTTGTAAGCTACTGACATTAATGTTGTGAGCGGGCGATTTGGCTCCCTTATAAATTCGCTTGCTCTGGAGCCCTCCTTCCTGAGCTAAGGCAAAAATGTGTGAGCTGGGGGCTTTAAAATTGTGAGCTAGCTCACACCAACTCAGCTTGGAGGGAACACTGCTCTGGAGCCCTCCTCCCTGAGCTAAGACAGAAATGTGTAAGCCAGAGGCTAAAAGAACTGAGCTAGCTCACACCAACTCGGCTTAGAGGGAGCACTGCTCACAGGGTGTCTGTCTGTTGTGGGGAGGGGAAGGGAAAGGAGATTCTAAGCCACTCTGAGACTCCCTTGGGTAGTGAAGGGCCATGGGGTGTAGATCCAATCTCTTCTTCCCCCGTCTCTCCTCCCAGGTCCAGAGGATCAGCCTCCACCCAGCCCACCGGCCCAGCGGAGCCTTCACCTCCACCTGCATCCCAAGCCTCCCCCTGGAAAGCCGGGCCCCAGACGCCCCCCGGACGGAGGAGGACGTGGACATCAGCGTGAGTGGAGACCTCTCCCCCCCCACCCCCCTTGGGTTGCTGAGGCCGGCGTCCCTCCCGGGCTCTAAAGGCCCGGCCAGAACCTAGTGGGCGTGTGAGTCCCTCCAGCCCTGCAGTGGGGGTCTCCCTGACCCAGGCAGGAAGGCCAAGAGGGACGGACGGGGCCCCCTTCTGGATCGCTCGGTTTGTGGGGCAATTTTTTTTCTTCTGGGGCAAGTGCACACACACAACTTCAGGGTCCAGTGGCACCCTTAAGACTAAAAAGGTTTATTTGCGGTATGAGCTTTCCTTTGCACGCACACCTCGCAATCTTAACATAAGAACATAAGAGAGGCCAATGTTGGATCAGGCCAAAGGCCCATCCAGTCCAGCACTCTGTATCACACAGTGGTCAGAAATACCAGTGCCATCAGGAGGTCCACCAGTGGGGCCAGGACATTAGAAGCCCTCCCACTGTTGCTCCCCATCCCAAGCACCAAGAAGACAGAGCATCACTTGCCCCAGACTGAGAGTTCCTGTCTATACCTTATGGCTAATAGCCACTGATGGACCTCTTCTCCATATAAAGGACAAAAGAGAAGCCAGTGTTGGATCAGGCCAATGGCCCACCCAGTCCAACACTCTGTATCACACAGTAGCCACGAATACCAGGTGCCATCAGGAGGTCCACCAGTGGGGCCAGGACATTAGAAGCCCTCCCACTGTTGACACCCCCCCCAAGCACCAAGATGACAGAGCATCACTTGCCCCAGAGTCCCTATCTATACCTTGTGGCTCATAGCCACTGATGGACTTCTGCTCCATATGCTTCTCTAATTCCCTTTTGAAGCCGTCCATGCTTGTCGCCGCCACCCTGTGGCAGTGAATTCCATGTGTTAATCACTCTTTGGGTGAAGAAGTACTTCCTTTTATCCATTCTAACCCGACCGCTCAGCAATTTCATGGAGTGCCCATGAGTTCTTGTATTGTGAGAAAGGGAGAAAAGTACCTCTTTCTCTACCTGCTCTTTCCCATGCATAACCTTATAAACCTCAATCGTGTCACCCCTCAGTCATCGTTTCTCCAAGCTAAAGAGCCCCAAGCGCCTTAACCTTTCCTCATAGGGAAAGTGTTCCAACCCTTTTATCGTTCGAGTTGCCCTTTTCTGCACTTTTTCCAAAGCTATAATATCCTTTTTAAGGTGTGGTGACCAGAATTGCACACAGTATTCCAGATGAGGTCTCACCATTGATTTATATAGGGGCATTATGATATTGGCTGATCTGTTTTCAATACCCTTCCTAATAATCCCCAGCATAGCATTGGCCTTCTTTATTGCAGTCACACACTGTCTCGACATTTTCAGTGAGTTATCTACTACAACTCCAAGATCTCTCTCTTGCTCAGTCTCTGCCAGTTCAGACCCCATCAACGTGTATTTATAGTTAGGATTTTTGGCTCCAATGTGCATCACCTTGCACTTGGCCACATTGAACCCCATTTGCCATGTTGACGCCCACTTGCCCATCCTTGACAGATCCCTTTGGAGTGCATCACAATCCTCACTGGTTTTCACCACCCTGAACAACTTCTTATAACCTTAACTTGTAGTTTAGTGTCACTTTGCATATCTTGATCGTCATCATGTTGCATGTTGATTTGCTGTTCCTTCTCTGGCTACAAGTCTGAACCTTGACTGCCGCTCTTGACGTATGTGATGAAGTCGTGCCGTGCACACAGGAGCTCATACCTTGAATAAACCGTTGTTGGTCTTAGAGGTGCCCCCACTGGACTCTCTAAATCTGTTGCCCACACAGACACAGGCGCACAAACTCACTTCAGCCAGAGCAGACAATGCATCCTCCGTTCCCAAACAGTGTGTCAGCCCACAAACCCCTGGACCAAATGCAAAACAAACGCAAGGACTCTGTCGTCTCTCCCTTTCACTGTAGGGGGGGCTGGGCTGGGCTGGATGGGAAGTGGGGGGGGCTTTGGTAGTAGGTCGGGGGCCGGGCCCACAGCTGGGCGCGCCTGTCCAAGGCCAGATGAGGTGCCCGCTTGCCTCCTTGCCGTGCCTGGCTGGGCTTACCTGCGGCTGGTGGGCCAGGTGGCAAGCATCTCTCAACCCAGACTTGCCGTCTCTGCTGCTGCTTGTGCCACCATTGCCATTTGTGCCGCTCTTGTCCTCCCTATCAACAGGCCAAGGCTCAGGGAGGGAGGCCAAGAAAAGCCACTAGGGGCCAGGCCCAAGAGGCCCCACGGTAGCTATGGGCCTGAGCCCCTGGGGGGGGAAGCTGCCTCTGTGCCCCCCCTTGGGGGGGTGGGGGGGCGTCTGAGCCAGGCCTTGGGGGACATCCTTTGGAAAGAGGACCTTCAGCCGAGGTGTCCTTCCTTCTGTGGCCCTGCCCCAAGCCTCCTCCTCGCACGGAGGATCTCCCGGGGATCTCCCTTAGTGAGCCAGGCCCACTTTCCCCTCGGCTGCGGCTTCCCTGACGGGCGGGCGGCGTTGCTGTCTCTCTCTCCCCCCCAGGCGGGCAGCGACCTGTCCTCTCCCACCATCTCCCTGACGTCCCCCTCCAGCACGGCGGCATCCCTCTCAGCCACTAGCGGCTTCGTCTCCAGCCCCAGCCAGAGGTCCCTGCAGAGCATTCTGGGTAAGCCGGGTCCCTCCCCCCTCTCCTCCCTCCCAGTGGTTGCCAGCGGTGCGTGGGGGGGGCAGGCCGGAGGCTGAGCCTTTGCCAATTCTCTCTGCCCGCCACCATTGTGGTGGAGCCCTGGGCCCGCCCCCCCCCCTCTCCCCCTCTGTGCCCCCCTCCCGCCTCAGGCCCCAGCTCCGGTTTCCGCCACCTCCAGGGCTCCGTCCTGCCCCGCGGCACCCACTTCACCAACCTCAAGGGGCTGAACCTGACCACGCCGGGCGAGTGCGACGGCTTCTGCACTAACCGGCAACGCGTGGCTGTCCCGCTGCTCTCTGCAGGAGGGCAGGTGGCCGTCTTGGAGGTAAGGGCGGGGCGGGGCGGGCAGGGCTGCGAGAGGCAGCTGGTCTCCCTCCTGCCCTCCCTCGGTCGCGGGGGCACTCCCTCTGCTGGTCGGAGACGCTTGAGACGTGGTGGGGTGCGAGGTCTGTAGAGGCCCTGGGGGGCGGGGGGCGGAGGAGGCAGCGCGCTTCTCCAGCGCTAAGGCCCGGATTCCTCCTCAGCTGTCCAAGGCGGGACGCCTGCCCGACGCTTCCCTGCCCACCATTGAGAATGGCGCCCCCGTCTCCGATCTGTGCTGGGACCCCTTTGATCCGGAGCGCCTGGCCATCGGTAGGTGATGCTCCCTTTGGACCGTGGAGCCCCACGGCCGAAACCAGAAGCTGCCCCAGCTTTGAGGGAGGGGGGGGTCACGCAGGAGGTCCGGCGCTCTTCCCTGCAGGTGCTCTGGGGCTGTTACGGCTCACGTCCAGGCACAGCACCCAAGACCAGCAGTTGGCTCAGGGCAATTCCTGAGAGCCAGTTTGGTGCAGGGGTTAAAGAGTGTTGACTCTTATGTGGAGAACCAGGTTTGATTCCCCATTCTTCTGCATGAAGCCAGCTGGGTGACCTTGGGTCAGTCACAAGTTCTCTCAGAGCTGTTCTCTGAGAGCCAGTCTGGTTTCGTGGTTAAGTGCGTGGACTCTGATCTGGGAGAACCGGGTTCGATTCCCCACTCCTCCACTTGCTTCTGCTGGATGACCTTGGGCAAGCCACAGTTCTGATAAGAGCTGTCCTTGAAAAAGAGCAGTTTCTGTCAGAGCTCTCTCAGCCCCACCTACCACAGGGTGTCTGTGGTGGGGAGGGGAAGGGAAAGGCGTTTGTAAGCTGCTCTGAGACTCCCTTGGGTAGTGAAGGACGGGGTATAAATCTAATCTTCTCTTCTTCTCCTCCTCCTCCTCCTTCTCTCAAAAGCAGTCCTCCAAAGAGCTCTTTCAGCCCCACCTACCTCCCAGGCAATGCTCCTTCTAAGCCATGGAGTCCTATGGGCAAAAATTCAGCTTTGTGAGCTACTGACACTAAAATTCTGAGCGAGGGATTTGGCTACTGGGTAAATCAGTTTGCTCTGGAGCCATCCTTCCTGAGCCAAGACAAAAATGTGTGAGCTGGAGGCTGAAAAACTGGAAGCTAGCTCACGCTAACCCAGCTTAGAGGGAACATTGCTCCCAGGGTGTCTGTTGGGGGTGGGGGGAAGGGAAAAGGGATTGTAAGCCCCTCTGAGACGCCGAGTGAAGGGCCAGGGGTATAAATCCAATTAAGCCAGTTTGATGTAGTGGTTAAGAGCGTGGAGTCTAATCTGGGAGGACCGGGTTTGATTCCTCACTCCTCCATATGTAGCAGCTGGTGTGACCTTGGGTCAGTCACAAGCTCTCTCAGAGCTGTTCTCTCAGGAGCAGTCCTCGAAAGAGCTCTCTCGGCCCCAGCTGCCTCACAGGGTGTCTGTTGTGGGGAGGGGAAGGGAAAGGAGATTGTAAGCCGCTCTGAGACACCTTCGGGTAGTGAAGGGCCGGGGGTATAAATCCAATCTCCTCCTCCTCCTTTTTCTTCCTTGGCACAGCTGGCGAAGATGCCAGGATCCGCCTCTGGCGGATCACGCCAGGAGGGCTGCAGAAGAGCTTGCTGGAACCGGAGGCCGTGCTGCAAGGTAGGGCCAGCTTCCCTGGAGGGAGGGGTATGGAAATGAGGTCCGCCCCCCCCCCGGCCTGGAGGGATCCGCTTGTCCCCCCAGCAGAGAGTGTTCCGGGACCCCCACCCCTCTCTCTCCCCCCAGGTCATACCGAGAAGATCTACTCCATCAAGTTCCACCCGCTGGCGGCGGACCTCCTGGCCTCCTCCTCCTACGACCTAAGCGTCCGCCTCTGGGACCTGCGCTCCGGGAGACAGGCCCTGCTTCTGGGCGGCCACGGGGACCAGGTAGGGGGGGCAGGTGGCTGGCCGCTCCCTGGCCACGCGGAGGTGCTGGGGAAGGAGGGGGTCTCCGGGAGGGTCCTCCGCTCTCCCCGTCTGTCCACGGAGGGGCCCGCAGGGGGTGGGCAGGCTGCCACACCCCGAGACCCCCTTTCTTGTGGTTGGGAGGAAGGACCTCTAGGCTGATAAACTGCGAGCTAGCTCACACTGACTCAGCTTAGAGGGAACACTGCTCCCAGGGTGTCTGTTGTCAGGAGGGGGAGGGAGCCCCCTGCGCCCCCTGCCTCAAGCCCCTCGGGCCAGAGGGCTGACCTCTTCTTGGGGGGCCGGGGACCTTGCAGATCTTCAGCCTGGCCTGGAGCCCGAACGGACGCCGCCTGGCCACCGTCTGCAAGGATGGCAAAGTGCGGGTGTACGAGCCCCGGCGAAGCTCGGAGCCCCTGCAGGTGAGTGGGGGCCTCGGTGGGGGGCAGTGCTCCTTCTAAGCTGAGTGAGTGTGGGCCAGCTCACAGTTTTCTAGCCTCCGGCTCACAGACTTTTTTTTATATACATAAAATTTTAATTGCTTTTCTTACTACACACTACAAACTAAGACTACAAAACTAAAAACTACATAGAGAGTAACAAGGCACTTAGATGAGCTATTCAAACGCTTTGGATATATGTCTACATGATAGAGATTGTATTCAAGTCTTTAGATTGTATTAAAAGTGTTCAAATAGGAAAGACATGAAAATATTTTTGGTATTAAATCACATCTGGATACTGCTACGATTTCGTTGCAGACTTTTGTCTTCGCTCGGGTAGGATGGGGCTCCAGAGCAGACTAATCTATGCAGGAGCCCAATCGCCCGCTCACCACTTTTAATGCCAGTCACTCACAAAGTAGGAGTTTTGCTCACAGGACTCCACAGCTTAGAGGGAGCATTGTTGGGCGGGGAAGCGAGGTGCCTCTCAGGGAGGCGTGGCATTGGGGGGGGAGGGAAAGA